ACAAGCTAGGTGGAAGGGTATTAGTTCACAAAATTGAAAATAGTTCACTATGATTATTTAGTATTATCTTTAGATAACAGATGTGTAAGAGACATTGCTCCTATTTATTTAAAGGCTGGGTTTCTGTGCATTGGTTTTCATGTTAATTGGAAAGGAGATCCAGTGAAAGTGAGTGAGAAGTTGGTTGTCCTGCTAGTAAAACCTAAGAACTAATCTGTTCCTGCTGCAAGCTTTTTTCCCCTAGTGTGTTTGTAAATCAGCCTTTGAAGAACTGTTCTCTGGTAGTCTTGAATGTCTTCATGTAAGTCATAGATTACCTTGACTGACAAAGCTGTATTCCTAATATACATGGCAGGGGTGGTCTTGCTGTACAAGTACAGAAGTGGCTTTGGAAGTGCAATTAGCTCCTATGTTTTGTCATATCATATGTTGGCAACATTGCAGAAGGCATGTTTACAGTAGGATCCTGCATCTCCTACGTTTGAATACTGGAAAACTGCTCTGGACTACTTTGAGAACAGAGGTTCATCCTGTGGTATCTGTTAATGTTGGCCTCTTACTGAGGCAAACTGAGCTTCTTTTTCTAGCCACTAGTATGAGAATATGAGTGACTGTTATTATCTTTCGTAACAATAAAATTTATGGTTTGTGCTTTAATTTTGACTGTGATTGCTTGATAAATAATAGTTTCTGGAAAGAAAAGCACTTTGTAAACATCAAGGGCACTGGCTAAAGGTAGTACCAAGCTAATCTAGGAAGAAATGTAGCTTTATTGAAAACTTGTTCTCTCTTCCTTTGCATGCTAGGTGTCTTAGAAAATGCGTTTCTTTAAGATCATAGCTGCACTTGAGTGTGTGTAGATGGGACAGTGTTTAGAGCTGTCCCATAAGAAGCCTCTAAGCATGCATGCTTATGTAGTGAGTAGTAAGCAAGCAGCACAAATTTGGTGGTAGGTGTACATCATTCTTATCGTTAGAGCTTGCCTAGTTTTATGGTGCACTTCTGTAAATAGTAATGAAAAAATCATACTTCAGCAAGATGCTTTTCTTTCAGACAAGTTGTGGGGGCTTCAGGCCACAATATTCTCTCTGTTGTGGGATTTGGTGTACTTCTTTGCTATTAGCCTTGAGATTAAGGCTTGAAGTCATTCTTGAAATGAATTAATGCTTTAGTACCTTGCTGGATTTCTTACAAGAGAAGTCAACAACTTGGAAGACTGAGTTATTCAAACTAGAAAACTTCTATAAGCTGCAGTAAATTATTTTTTCTTTAAATTTGAAACTTACTGGTTGCTGTAAGACTTATCTGAAACAAAAGACTGCTAGCGGATGGGACCAAATACCTTTACTACTAGTCAAAGGATGCCTCACAAAACAGAAGGTAGCATAACCTGGCTGTTTTTTCAGGCTCTCATTTTGCTCTGGAAAAAACACTTGGAATTTCCTTTCTTCCCTTCACCTTTTGAAAAGGAAGTATTTGAAGTCATTTTTTTCGGAGAGGGGAATATAGGAAGGTATCCTTTAGAGGGTTACTAGATTGTGATGAATCTCAGATTTACTGATTTTAATATATGTTTAAATAAACAGAATAGATATGTAAAAAGCTGAGTCCTCTGTAGATCTTATGGCAGGATGGACTTCGGTGCACAATAATGAAATCAAAATTGTTATACTTTTTGCCATTAAAATTCCATCAGTTAGCTGCCAATTCCATCCGTGAATTAGCTGACTCATCACTAATCTCATCAAGATTAAGAGACCTTAATCTTACTCAAACAACATTTTAGCCCAGAGTAAGAGGCTGGAAATTGATTTTTTTTCTTGTTTGTACTGCATGTGTTTGTATACATGTGTTTACTATTTCCTGATATACGGCATGCTATCAGCAGCTTGGAGATGATCTGATAAAGACTGAAAATTCTCTTACTGAATTATTTGAGGTTACATTCTCAAATACTAAATTATTCGAAGTCTCCCTAGCTGCTGAGCTGCTCTGAGAATTAATTCCCTTCCCAGTCTATGGTAGGGAACCTGAATCTGTGATTATACAATCTAGGGAAATATATTTAAAAGAGAACCTACAGCTACTATTTCATTATTAACAAATGCCTGTTAGAAGAATAGTTTTCATGACCCTGCAGGCAGTTCTATGCACATCTGCCAATGTTTGCCATCATGAAAGAGTAAAACTGGTACTCAATTCAAGTTTTACTTCAGGACTCTTTTGAACAGGTGCTTTATATAAACCTTAAAAGCATGAATACTGGAGGAGGGCAAAGAGCAGGTTTCTAAACTTAAACAACATCAAACTATGAACAATAAACAGAAATTGGTTATGCCTTAACTCTTGGCTGGAAAATACTCTTAAATGCAAGTGATAGTAGCAGTTACTACCCTGCTTCCTACCTGCATTTGTAAAGTTGATTTCCTAACTAGGAAAACAGAGCTTGAACTAGTGGGGTTTGATACAACAGTACAATTATCTTAAATAATTTGAATACACTGTGTGAGAAACTGATGCTACAGTAGCTAATTTTTAATATTCACCCATTCTATTCTCGAAACAGCAGCCTCAGACAGAAGGGAGTAGATGCTACCCCCACCAATCTGTTTGGAGTTGACATGCTAAAGCTTTGTAACATCTTAGAATGAAATAGCAGTTAAACTAATATTGGGTGGGATGATGAGGTGTAATGAGCGGAGAACTTGTCAGTTCATCCCAACAAAAATCCCATGAATTTTGGTGATACCAAATCCATTTTGAAATTATTCAAATGTGGGCTTTCTAACTTAATGTTTAAATAAAATGTCCTATTTCTGCTGTAAGGTACTAAGAATTCAAATAGTTATATAACAAATATAATTTATGTCTAAATATAACTGTAAAGAAGTACATTCCAGACTTGAGAAATCATTAGCTGCTACAAGACTTGAGTAATTGCTAATTAGTGTGGTTTGTGGCCAGTACTCATGGAGTCACTAGAGTAGGAACAAATGCACTTAAACCAGTTGTGGTGTTTGGTTTCTGGCTTTTAGTCCTTCTTATTGGCTTGCCAGAAACCTGTCCGATGTATTGTCTGGCTTTCCATACTGAAGTACAAAGAATGAAGAGATATTTGCTTTTTGCAAGTTATTAATTGGGTGAAATTTGGTTTTTTAACAACTTGCAGGATTCTGAGCTCTGCTTGTGGCTGTGGGCATTGTGCTGGTTTCCAGTGCTGTGCTGCATTTCTCTTTGCCTGTCCCACTGACTGTGCTCAGGGAAGGTGCCTTGCTGGCCACCACCTGGTAGATACACAGTCAAGTAGTCACTTTGTGTGGAATGAAGGTGCTACAGCTGTTCAGCACATAGTGAAGTGACCATGTATTTGAGGGTGTGGGCAGAGGAGTGGCTGGAAATCTGAACTCTAACAGTGTTAAGCAGCTTAAACTTATCTACAGAGTAGTCTTCTTAGAGGAGCACAAATCTCTTACTCCCTGCAGAAGGTAAAACTCTCCATTTTTTAGTAAGGAATTTAAAGAACAACTGTATGCAGAGGAAAAGCGGATACAATACTATCTACTCATGGATTCATTTGTGTAGGGAATAGATAATGTTCTCAAACATTGTTCTCAGATGTTTTCCTCATGCATTATGCAACATGCTTCCCTAATGAAAGCAGGATAAGAGCACCTAAAATGTTGAGCTACCTTCCTCTCCTGAGGAAAAAGCACTTACTTGTAGCTAGCAGTGTCTTCCATGGTCTCCTGTCATTATGTTGCTCATAATTATTTGATATCCCCTACGTGATTATCTCTTGCCAGCCTTAGTGGTGCCAGTTGTCAGGTCATGTCTGATTTTCTGCTCCATGCAGCTTTGGGTTCATGAAAGAGATGGGCTTGATATACCCCTCATATGTGGAGTCTGGCTTTGCACAGGCATGAACAGAACTAAACCCCCAAGCTGATGGTGTAATGTTAGTGTGCTGGTAGCTTCAGAAAGACTGAACTGGCCAAGGTGCAGTTGGTACTTAACAGCCAGTGGTGATTCCTGTCTTCTTTCCTTGCTAATGTGGTCTGGCTTTCTCAGAGTACACAGCTGTCCTAGCATAACTCTACTCCCTTGCTAAAAATAGCAGATGCACCACTCAAGTAGGCCTGTGGCCCCAGGGAACTATTCTACAGATCTAATACTTTGCTGGCATGGTTGCTTCTGATATAGTTCAAAAAGCCAAATCCTTACCTCCTCCTATGACTGTCTTCTGAGGTTTTAAGTTTTCTATTCCCTATCCAAAAAGCAAGCAAATAGTTTAGAGTGGGGCAGTGGGGGAAGAAGGGAAGACAGACTGCCAGGGAGGAAGGACCCTGGAAAACTGTTCTTAGTGCTTGATAGTGATATATGTGGCCCATAAATAGGATTACTAGGCATGGTTATCCAAGGTGCATCTGACATAAGTACATGTGACTCTAAAGAGAGACACATACTCATGGGGTTACTACAGGTGAAAAGCAAATGAAAACTACTATTTCCTTTCTTAAAGGAGAGGGGGTTTTATTAGCTGAAGTGATAGCTGAAATAGTTTTTAACCTTTTCATTTGACAGCCAAAATGCTATTAACCTTGCTCATAGGCAAGGGAAAGTAAATTAAAAATAATCCTTAGAGACCCATTCATCTCTGCAGGTATAATGACCTGTAACCTCACAGATACCATCTCTGTAAGAACAGAACTTGAGTTCTACTGTATCTTTGTATTAGGATTACACTTGAGAAATTGTGCTTTGAAACCTACTGGGGAGGGGTGTGTGTCAAAAGTTGAGGAACTGGGCAGGTCATTTTTTCAAGTGCTGAAACACAATGCTGAATTTCCCTTTTTTTTTTTTTTGGTTGAAACGTATTAGAATGTTTCAGTGAAAGCCACAGCTGTCTCTTTGTGCATGGGTATACGCAGACACCTACTGCACACTTGCCTCCTGTGAATCCAATGCAGAGCAGTTTGAAAGTGCAAACATATATTTCACAGATTACCATGAGGATCACTTTAATCAGCTTTGAGACCTGCTAATGCTGTAGAGATCTTTGAAGGACTACCGCTGTTTTCATCTCCATGCAGCCAGTGCAAGAAGGAACGAACATCATGTCTCTGTGCCATCGCTGGAAGAGATGCTTCTCTCTAGGTAACTGTACAATGGGCAGCTGCTTTTGTTGTGCATTACACGGAACTGGGGGTGGACAGAATTAAGAACAACAGCTTTGGGAACACTTTAGAGCAAAAGGTCACTATGTATTCAGTAAATCTTTCTAATCTAGTGTTGGCTAGAAGCCAGCATTACAGGCCTCTGGGCTTTTAGTAGAAGACAACAGATAGCTTTAAATAATAAGCATGTAAATGGAAAAACATTTATTTTTCTTGTTTAAATTGGTCTCTTAGAAATCAAGTTCAGCTGTGCTTGCAGCTGATATGCTTAAAGCTGTTGGTAAATTGTTGCAGAGCAGATGCATTACAGAAAGGAAAAAAGCACTTGGGTGTCAGAATGCTAATAGAATTATGATGTGCCAAGGATATTTTTAGCTTCAACCAATATTAATACAGGGAAACAGGCCTCAAAGGTGGGAGGAGAGAAGGCTGTAACTGCTTTCTTCTAAGGATTAGCTGTGACTGTCAGTTGTGCTAAGGAGATTTCTGATGGCTGTTTTTGAAATATTCCACTAATCACGTAACAGATACATGTACCTGATAGTTATGTATATGGCCCAAAATGGGATTACTAGTCATGGTTATCCAAGGTGTATCTGACAAAAGTACTAGAATTTCAGGATCTTCCTTGAGCAGTGGGATTACTGACAGGAGAGATGCTTATTTTTGTTTGAAGTGTAAGAGTCCAATTTAGCTGTAGCTTCTGCCACCTCATGTTCACTTTTTAAAAACTATTTTAACAATCAAATCTGATGCATTGAAGGAACTGCAATTAATGAGACTGGAAGAAGGGAGTAGAATTACTGTTTTACATTGTTAAATGCAATGGTTTCAGTGTTTTAATTTTTTTCCTTTGTATAGAAAGATTTTTTTTTTTGAGCTGAAAATTCAAAATAAACTTAAAGACACTGTTGCTTTTATTTCAGAGGCTCAAAGTGCATGCAGAATGAACACAATGTGTTTTTACATGTTTGCCCAATTCATCTGCATTTGCCCTGTTGCCTTGTCCATAAAAATGCTTCTAAGTTATGTTAAATGAGTAGCACTAAATCCAGTACCCTCCACACTGTTTCAAATGCTGAAGACTTGTTCAGTGTTTTCTAATGTGTGCATGTGTTTTGAACTCAATTAACAGCTGGTAGGCCATGCTAATCCAGGAATTAAAAAAAAAAAAATTGTGAAAAGAGCAGTGAAATGTTGACATGTGACATTACCAACAGGTGAGCAGAAACATTGTTCTCCAGAGTCTTAAAACCATGTAATCCCAAACACAGAACATAGAAGCAGTGCCTGGTATATTGACTTCTCACTGAACCAATGCCTCCATTACCTCCTTCAAAGCTGCCTTAGTGCTGCTTCTTGTGGGGCTTGTTCAAGACATATGCTGTTTGTTGGAAGAAAATTGATGACACATTTCTTTTAGGATGCCTTGGTGTTGTTATAGTATTTGCTAAGTTGTTGGAAACCTGGAGCATATGGAACTCATAGGCAGCTTTCAGAGCTGAATCTGAGTTTGAGAAGTCTGAACAGCTTTGAGAAAACCTATTGCACATGAAGTGTTGGAATTTAAACTTGGGGGTTTCAGTGACATCTTGGGAGGTTCCTTGAGCTTACTGGATCTGTAGTACTTCTTGCCTATTTAAAATTCTGGTGTTGAACAGTAGCTGCTAAAGCTGAGTATTCAACTTTGTGCCAGGCTATTAGATCTAATTCATGTGCTGCCTGAAATTTATTTTTTCAAGCCTCAGACGTATCATTGGTTCTTATAAATCAGACACATGTTGTGGATACCAAAAAAAACCTGCTTGAAGTCCAAGTTATGGTGACAAACTCCTAGCAAATACACAAGTGAGTTTGGAGAACAGAAGGAAAGAGTAGAATAGGAGTGAAGCTTCTAGCAACACTATTTTTGTTCAATGCAATATGGGAACTTAAAACTAACAACAAGCCAACAACAAGTTTTAACTAGTGTCAATTATTAGTGCCCCTAATGTTTTTGTAAACTTAGTTTAGAAGCTGGGGCAGGGGAAGAAGGAATTATCGTTTTTACTTACTAGTGATTCAGGTTCAACCTCGGAATTTAGCTGACAGCTGTGGCTATGAAGCTTGAGATAGAATAAGAATAGATCATGTGCAGTGTTATTAGCTCAGCATTATCAGCAGAAGCTGCTTGTTTTTGACATTAAGTGAGAAGGTACAAAATTACTTGGGAGATGAAGAAGAGCTATTTTAGGCCAAGTGCTATTCCTCTTGTGGTCTCACCAAGGCTGCATGTGAGGATTGTTAGAGGGAATAGAAACATCAGACCTTTATTTTGTCATTCCAAGATGCAAAAGAAATGAACCAAGGAGACCTTAATACATACCACAGGCAGCCCTAGGCACCTTTGCTTTCCCCTACCTGAGTATTCTGCCAACTCATTTTTGCTTTGAAAAATGTGACTGTCTGCTGTTCATACAGAGGGAAGTGAATTTTATTGGATGGACCTGCTTCTTATGCCTTGCCTCACTAAGAGTTCTGTCCTGTCTCTTGAAATACACAATATTTTGCATGACAGTGCCTCTGAATCTTCTCTATATACAGTTTCTGCTAAATTGTAAACCCCTGAGGCAGCATAATTCTGGCTGCTGCTGTTTAGTTCTCTGAAGTGTCTCTAGCGTTCTGCTAGAAATCTGTTTTGTTTGTGACAACATTTAGCTGCTTCATTCAAATGAACTTGAGCGTATGGATCAAAATCCAGGCTCCAGCTGTCTCTGGCGTGCAATTCCATTTTCAATTGGAGGCTGCTCCTCAAAACAAGCAGTGTTTTGTGCCTTGAATTTCTTAGAGTTAAGAACTTTCTAGTTAGTAATTTAAGATTATTCAGAAAGACCATTTTCAGTGTTGTCAAATTCAGTTTAAATCTGGGATAAACAGAGCATGCACAAAGCATGTACTATTCCTTTTTAGGCTTAACATTAACATTAACAGGGCCAAGCAAATGTTCTCCTAATTTCTTTAGTCTCAACAGTTGCTTTTGTATCAGCTAAGGCTACAAGAAGTTTGTCATAAATGTGTGCAGTTCTAGTTAAGTGAGAGCTACTGATGCTGTGGGTCTGTTAACACAATTGATCAATCAACTATGACCTACTGATCCATCTATACTATGAGTATCTCTGTGTCTATTATAACACTGCAGTTCTTCTGTAGTTACATGATACTGGTGAATTGGTCTTCCTTGGACCGACGAGTACATCCAAGCTTTTCTTTTGGCTTAGCTGAGTTCCATTTTTATAGCAGCAGTCTTTGCAGTGATCCCTGAAGTGCACTGTTAGGTGTTTGCGCTATAGGATATTTAGCACTTTTATGTTCCGGAGGACTGGATTAATGCTTCTCTTAAGGACTGACACTTGTAAACTGCAATGTAGCAATCCAGGCTTCAAAGTAAGCAAGTCCAAATTAGAAGCTACTCACCTGTCTTGTGTTGTTGACTGACTAAATGAAATTATCCCCCAAATTGGTCTCAGAGTAGGCTGACAAGTGATCTCTTTCTAACATGACAGCTTCTCTTACAGAGAGAATCTTGATAGAAACTCTTTCTGCGTGGCAGCTTCTCTTAGTAGTTACTTACTCTTACAGGTAACTACTCTTGTGTAGCGTGCACGTGGCACTGCCTTTATATAATAAAGAAATCATGGCACGCTCTCTGTGAGGTGGCAAACAAAGAGCTTTATTCAAACAGCGCGCGGTCCTTTATACCTTGATCCCACGTGACTCTTAACCAATAGGAGGGTCTGGCTCTGCGCATGTCCCCTAGCTTCGGTGCCTACCTGTTGCACCTCGGGACATGTTCCCTACACTCTTGAGTTTTAAGAAACTTGTGAAATCCATGAGCATTATCACATTTGCTAACTTCCATCAATACCCTTCTTAGTATTGTTAATAATGGCCAGTCTTCGTGAACGAAGATTTGGGGAAAGGTCTTTTTACCTTTCCAGCCTGCGCAATGGATTTTTTAAGTGAGACACAGCCTGCGCTGAACTGAGCCCACCCTTTAATCCTAAGGTTCATCTGCCGGGGCCAAGCAAGCTTGGACAATGGCAGTGAAGTCCTCAGGACGTAGGTTTGTTTAGAGTGATCTTCTCATAGATGGATGGCCTCACAGGGCTAACGGGCTCCATCTGCCCGGGGGACTGGCTGGGATTCGAACCTGGGTCGCAGAGGTGAGAGTCCTGCATGCTAACCACTAGGCCACCAGGGGTCCCCTTAGTATTGTTAATTTTGGTAATATACACACATTGCATAGTTATAAAGAGAAAAAGAGCTAAGTTACAGACTTGTGTCTGTTTAATTTTCTTTACAATTTCTGTGTTAACTTGATGGATGACAACTTCCTCCTTGCATCCTGGAATCCAGAAAATAAGGTTTGTTTGCCCAGTTGTCTCCTGTTGTGCTTCTGAAGATTCATTTACTGTAATATCCTTTTGGGGCTACTGTCTTCAACTGAGACATCTTCATCCGATTCTTGCTTTGTTTATCGGTCTATATCTTGCACAGAAAATAATTCTGTGAAAATAAACTTACAAGACTGATTTCCTTCTGTGCATTTCTAAAAGATCTTCTATAAAGGTATGGATGACTTTCCATGTTCTGATTTGAACAGGGAAGTTATCTGAGAGCTTTAAGTCTCCTTGTCCCAAGTTTGATTTGTAGTAGGGCTGTCCACAGCAATCTTGAGTTGCTTTAGCTGAAGACAAGTTTTTTTTTTGCTTTAGCTGTTGACAGACACAAATTCAGGTTAACTTTTAAGAATAAATTCTAGTGTGAAGAATTCCAACTTGATATTGTTTTGCTCACTTAGTATCCTCATAGTTTTTCTGGAATATGCAACTGCTTAAAAAACCCCAAACAAAACCAAACCCCTGAAAACCCAAACTAGCAATTACAGGCAATTGGAGAATGTACCCATGAGTTACAGAGTCAGAACTGAGTTCACTTCCA